GAAATGGAGCAAAATCTCTGGATCCACTAGCTTCTTCAAGAACCCCCAAACTTCCACTTCTTCCTTCAAGCTTCAAACAACTCTAAATACTCAAAAATGGCTCAAGAACACTCAACAAGCTCTAGGGTTTCGAGATAAGGCATTCTGGAAGTGAGAGCGACGATGGGGGCTGGGTTGAGGCAAGATAAGTTGTTTATATAGGGTGCAAACCCTAAATATTAGGGTTTCTCCAGACAGTCCTACTCGCCGAGTCGGGCTCCCGACTCGTCGAGTAGGTTACTTAAAATCCGCGACCAAGGTCTTATCTACTCGATGAGTTGGGCCTCCAACTCGCCGAGTCCCAGTGTAAAAACATAAAAGCTTTAAATTTAAAATACGTACCGGGAACTGGGCGTTACACAAATGCTCTCAACGCCTAAAGACGGGTGCTAAACACCTCCTAACAATCCAAGCTTGGTAAACCCTAAGTCTATCTTATAAAAACATAAATTTAACAAAAAGTCAACCCATGCCAAAAGTCAATGGTCAAAGTCAACGTTTAACATGACTTTCAACCGCCACGTCGTGGCCTTCATACAATCAGGCAGACATACATTTCCCAATCGCCACGCCGTGGGCGCTGGGTTTCTAGCAGCTTAATGCATTAAGCTGCTTTCTTTAATTCTAAGAGCCTAATGCTCAGATCTGGTCAATTCTATGATCTAAATGGATAAAGTTTCCAACTTTATCCCTTAAGACACCCAAAGAGATCAAGATCTCCAACCTTAAGACCAAATAAAGCCAAATACCACAATGTCTTAACCATTAAGCCCTAAATCTGCAAAGTCCTTAACCTAACCATCCCAGAAAGGGTTTCTAATACCAGATCTATGCTAAAGATGAAAGCTTTATAGACATGCATGTCCAATACATGTCTAGAACCCATTTTAGGTCAAAGGAGCTAAAATGACCAAAACTCATGCAAATGACAAGATCTCCAACCAAAATCTAGATTTATAACATATGTTTCTTATGGGACTCAGGATAATCATAAGTTGTCAACTTTATGTGTTCCTTCCTTTTAAACTTGCTCAAACATGAAAAACATGGGACAATACCCTAGATCTAACCACTTCAAGCCATAAAGTTTGAGCCTTTGACACTTACAAAGGTACAAAAACAATGTAAGATGTTGACGGTGTTGTTTCCTTGCAAGATCCACAAATAGAGCACCTTTCTTATCCTTCTTCTTTTCTTTTTCCAAACTATCAAATGCTCCAAAAGGCCACAAATCACTAATGGAATTAGGGTTAGGGTTTTTTTTGAGGAAAAAGAGCGTTGGAGGCTATAAATGAATCCTAGAAATGTCTTAGAGGGGGTTTAAATACGAAGGGAACCCTAAAAGAATCGTGAGCTTGGGCCAGAACAGCTGCCACGCCATGGTGGTCTAAACAAAACACACAATCCTTCTAATCATTGCCACGCCATGGGCATCCTTGCACCACGTCGTGGCACAGAGTTTCTTCCAAAAATTCATCATTGGTCCTCAATAAAAGTAAGCTTAACCAATCTGGAATACATGTGTTACAATTAATATGAAATTATTTATGCTGATTAAAAGTACAAGGACTGAATGTTAATAATTCAATAGTTGAATGGTCAGAACATTCTGGAGGTGTTCAGGTAGTGGTTTGGGAATTACTCTAAATACATCAACAATGATGGTGTAGGTGTAGCCGTGGAGGTGCGGTGGTAGTCCAATGGAGATGAACATAGATTTGGGTAGTCCAATGGAGATGAACATATATTTTAGGTTAGATAGAAGGGGAATGGAGAAAGATAAAGATAAATGTGAGAAGGTATATACTATACAAACCTTAAGATGGAAAAAAGGTTGTGTAAAGTAGGATGGGGGTGGAGGTTGGTCATTTGAATTTTATTTAATAATAGATATTAATAAATAGGAAAAAATGAAAACGGCAAAATAATTTTTTCAATTTCCTAATCACAACCAAAGGTATATGAAATTTACAATTTTTTTTTAAAAAGACCAACATAAAAATCGGGTAACACATGGACCAAATTTGAAGTTTTTCTCTAAAGACCAAATTTAAAGTTTTTCTCTAATAAACTTTTAGCTATTAAATTCGATAAATAAATAAACAAAGCTAGATCATGGCGATATCTTTGAAAAAGCGTGTGAAAGTGGAAATAAAAAGAAGATGACTCAGGAAATGAAAAAATAAGTTGGTGTGGAAACATTAAGGAAAAGCATTCGTAACAGAGGTTCCCCTATACGCTTGACCAAATCTCCATTCTATTCCAAGCGAATTCTTAATTCTTCTTCTTCTTCTTCTTCTTCTTCAATGTATTTGTAAAGATCTTGTCTAAAAATTCAAGAAGCAGAAGAAGAATCATGTGGGTGTTCTATCTGATCTCGCTGCCTTTGACGATGGGGATGGTGATGTTCACCCTAAGGTACTTCGCCGGACCTGACGTCCCTCGTCACATCCTATTCACCGTCGGCTACACCTGGTTTTGCTCTCTCTCCTTCATCATCCTCGTCCCCGCCGACATTTGGACTGTAAGTCAATTTCTTTGATTCTTATTTTTGTATATGTGATGCTAGATTACAAGTGCTTGAGCGAAATGATCATTGCAAAATCCGTTTACAATTTTGGTTGGATCGCAAAATTAAACCCTAGTTGATCCTCATTTTAGGAAACCGGCGCGTGATTAAGCTCGAATTTGCCCCTTTTTTTTACATCGACTTAGTTCCTCCCAAGTTCGAAATTGGTGAACGATTTATGTAGTTTGTTACTTTGTTTTGCGAATAGATCAGAAAACGTCAAATTAGAACAACACAATTCAATTGTAGTACTTATTATGGCTTTTTTTACTTGAAGAGTTCAAGATCCATCATCCATGCCCAACTTGAAGTTGAAAAGTAGTATGTATACAGTATACTTTAGCCTATTAAGAGAGCATGAATGATGGATATTAAGTTTGTTCTAAGGTTCATCTGAAGTAAAATATAAGGATTCAAACAAATCTTTAACTTTGCTAATGGTGTACTCAAATGATGGAGATCTCTATTAGAATCAACATTTCACTTTATTCCAGCACTTGGATGAAATCTACATATAACTAAGTGACTGGAGTAACATTTTGACATTTAAGCTGTGGAATTGGAGTTAAGCCTTGAGGATTGTTGTAATAAACATATCAACAACAAGAAAAACAACAATACCCTAATCTTATGTTCTCTTCATTTGCTTGAATACCTAAACATTGAGGCAGATATATACATAAGTCAATAACATGATTCCAATTGTTTAAACTTTAAACACATTCCTTATTATTATTATTTTTTTAAATTTCTCATAGGCTATGATTGATCATGACAAGGGTGGGATTTCTTTCTTCTGGAGCTGGTCATATTGGAGTACTTTTTTACTTACTTGGTATGCTTTTACTATGATTTCAGTCAATATTTATCTATTTTTACTTTTTACAAATGTTATGAGATGTAAATATGAAGCCATATTTATGTTGCACAATTTCTCTAAACAGGGCTGTGGTGCCTATCCTTCAGGGTTATGAAGATGCTGGTGATTTCACAGTTACTGAAAGATTAAAGACAAGTATACATGTGAATTTAGTATTTTACCTTATTCTTGGTGTTGTAGCACTTTTTGGACTTACACTGCTTATTCTTTTGCATAAAAACTGGTTTGTTTCTATTACTCTTACTTATATATATATATAGAATCTTGAGTAATTTACATATTTAGTCCCTGAGTATAACTAATTTTTTCATTTTTGATCCCAAAATGTTTTCTCTTGCAATTTTTGGTTCTTATTTGAGGTTTTTTGTAACGTTTTTGGTTTGGGACCAAATTTGCAAAATCAGTTACATTCAAGGACCAAAAATGGTCATTTTACTTGGGACATGGACCAAAAAGGTTGCAAGAACCTCAAATAAGGACCAAAATTTCAATTTTCAAGTGAACGTTTTGGGACCAAAAATGAAAAAATTAGTTATACTCAGGGACCAAAAATGTAATTTACTCATTTTGAATGATTTTCAGGGGTGGTGGTATACTTGGTTTTGCAATGGCATGTTCAAATACATTTGGACTTGTTACTGGTGCATTTCTACTTGGCTTTGGTTTAAGTGAAATTCCAAAGGGTATTTGGGTAAATTCAGACTATAACACTCGCCAAAAGGTTCTTTCCCATAAAGTTGCTAGAATGGCTGTAAAACTTGATGATGCTCATCAAGATCTTTCAAATGCTATTGTTGTAAGTTTCCTTTTTCTTTTCTTTAGATTAAGTTTTTTATTAAGATGACTATTTTGCCATGTAAAATGACTATTTTGCCCCTTGTCAGGTTGCTCAAGCAACATCGAAGCAAATGTCAAAGCGTGATCCCTTAAGACCCTACATGGATATCATCGATAAAATGTTGATTCATATGGTAAAAAAATTATCAAATTTTATGTTATTTCAAACTTGTTTATTTTACATTTTAATTTTCAGATAACAAGGAAAATATTGATATTTCAGCTTACAGAAGATCCTTCTTTCAAACCTCAAGGAGGAAGATTAGGAGAGAATGATATGGAATATGACACAGATGAAAAATCAATGGCAACATTAAGAAGACAACTTAGAATAGCACAGGGTGAATACTTGCGTTATAAAAGGTAGATGATTTATTTTATTAAATTGAACCTTTTTTTATTACCAGTTATTTTATAGGTCATCTATTAAATTTAAGGATAATCACAAAAATAACCAAAATGATATGTTCTATTTAACAAAGTGGTCACCTTTTTTACCTTTTAAAAAAACAAGTATGAAGTTTGCAAATTGATATATAAATGGTCCCACCACCAAAAACCTTAAAAAAAAAAAGAATTTTGAGGGAAAAATTATTTCACTGTTACTATTTTGTTAAATGATGATGTCGATTAGCAATTTTTTTATTAAAGCTTTTTGTCAGTTTCTTGCAGCCTTTTTTTTTTCAGTAAAAATAATTTTACAATTTTTGGAGTTCTGGAATCGACCCATTGTGCGAAATATCTGGTTATTTTGTTATAAGGTCAAAAGAGTTAATCTCATAAAAGACCTTATATTTTGTGTTTTTTCTGGATTAAACCTCAACTTCATTTTTTTTTTCATGAAAAAGACATTGCATATTTTAGTTTTTTCCAAACTGGCCCTTTTAGTCATTTTTCTCTAAAAAAAGTTGTAAAATGTGAGGGTTTTTTTTTCAGGAAAAACCAAAAAAGTTGAGGATTTATTTGGAAACATTTAGAAGGTTGAGTTTTTTTTTTCGGAAAAAATGAAAAAATATAAGGTCTTTTTCATTAAAAAAAATAAAGATTAGGTTTAATCCGGAAAAAAAACACAAAATATAAGGTCTTTAATGAGATTAACCCTAATGTCAAAAAAAGTTGTCAATTTATTAAATGGGACCCACCGTGTAATTATCCGTAAATTTTATATTATAGTTCTGCTTTTAACCATTTATGGTTTTTTTTTTTTTTTTGATTAGTGAATATATGAATTTTGTGACTGAAGCTCTTGAGTTGGAGGACACTATTAAGAATTATGAGCACCGTGATTCTACTGGATGGTTTGTGCCCTGTTTATTTATTATTTATTTTTTTATTGAATGAATGATCCGTCCTAACGACAGTAAAAATGACCATTTTACCCTTCTGTCGATAAAGAATGACTGTTTATTTAAGAACTGTTATAAAAAATGACTTTATTTTGCCCTTCTATCTGCTGAATAAAAAGTGACTATTTAGTATTTACCCTTTTGTCCTGTGACCTGTCCCCATTAAGTAAAAAAATAATAATAATAATAATAATTATTTTTTAATTTTTGTCAATCCGTAACCTTCTAGAAAATGACTATTCCACCCTTCCATTTGGTTTGCCTGTCTAGAGCAAGTGTCGTATGAACAAATATTTTTTTTTATAGCAAGTGAACCGTCTAAATAATGGTAAATGACCATTTTGCCCTTCAGCTGAATAAAAAACGACTGTTTATTTGAGAACTGCTAAAAAAATGACTTTATTTTATCCGTGTGTCTGCTCCCGATTAATTTAAAAAAAAGAATCAACACTTAATAATTTTACTTTTCCCAATCTGCGACTTTTTAGAAAATGACTATTTTACCCCCTCCATACAGCATGCTTACAATCTATATTTTTTTTTTGGGTTTGTTCAACTTGCAGGAAATATATTTCAAGCTTCAGACCAAAGCGATCTGGGAAACTAGGATCAATTCTTGATACTATCGGTAATTTTTCAACTTCACAAAACACCATTTTTCCATAAATTTTTATTTTTATCAAACTTTATAAAAAATGTGTCTTCATTTTGTAAATTTTCAGAATTAATATGGAGGTGTATATTAAGAAAGCAACTGAAAAAGATTTCAGCTATCATTTTGGGCTGTTTAACAGTTGCAATTCTTCTAGCAGAAGCCACTATTCTCCCCAGTGGAGTCGATTTTTCTCTTTTTTCCATTTTGATTAATTCTGTTGAAACAAATGAAGTCCTTGTCCAGGTAACATAACATAACATCTCACCTCTTTTTTCAATTATTTTAAATAACATTTCTTAAAATACTTTATTATCATGCATTTTAATTTAAGATTAAATGCAATAACAAGTTAACTACCAATGTACTTTCTATTTTTTCATTATTACATTGTACTTTCAAATTATTCCTCATTAGCGCATTTTACTTTTAAATTTACTCATTATAACAATTAGTAACTGGCTACCTCTTGTACAATTATAGTGTCATATCATCATAATTTAAATACAAAATTGCAAAAATGGTCCCTGTGGTATGTTGAAAAGTGCCACTTTGGTCCAAACAGGTTTGGACTAGCACCAGTGGTCCAATTTGCTTTGAATTTTTTTAAATGACGATTTTGCCCTTTGTATTTTCTTTTTTCAATTCTTTTATTACAGACATAAAAAAAAGGAAAAAGAAAATACCCACCCTCTCCCCATTTAAAACACATACACATTCATGTAAACACTCAAAACAAATTGGACTAAACTCGCAACAAAATAAAAGTTTTGGACCACTAGTGCAAGTCCAAACCTTTTTGGACCAAAGTGGCAATTTTCGACATACCACAGGGACCATTTTGCATATTTTACTATTTGAAATCAACATGTTAAATACTTTTATAGTAAAATGCCCTAATAAGGAATAATTTGAGTACAATGCTGTTGTAAGAAAAAATGATAGTACATTGCTATTTTTTCATTTAGCCCTTTAATTTCTTCATTGAAAAAGA